GGGGGGGGGGGAAGAAAAAGGAAAAAAAAAATCCGGGACAGCTGGTAATGCATTTTGAAGTGTGTTAACAACACAGCACCAAACAGCTCTTTATTGATCACGTAATGCCTTTTTTCCTTTCCTTCCCGTTTTCTTTTTTTATTTCTCTCTCTCTCTCTCTCTCTCCCAGCTGAGCGTTTCTTCTGTTTTTCATTCTGTGGTTTCCTCCCCCCGCCCCACCCGGCCCCCAACCCTTAAATACATATTTCAAGTACCTTTTGCTTCAAGCGAATTTTCACCTCTCTTATTCCCATTTTTGCATGATCTTTTGCCTGCATGGGGGGGAAAAAAGAGAGAGAGAGGGAGAGAGGGGAGGGAGAAAGGGTTATTAATTTAAGAGAGAAATCCTTATTTGGCTCCCCTGGCGAGGGAGTTTTTGCAGCCCACCCAGATTTACCTACTCTGATGACTGAGAATGGGAGGGGGAGAACGGACCGTCGGGGGAAGGGAAAATGGGCATAAAAACAAATAAGGAGACGAGAGGTTAAAAAAACAATCTTTAATGAGAGGAAGAGATTTTTGTAGGTGCTGGAGACTATCCTGCCTTTAAGGAGAGGGTTCGGATTTTATCCTCCAATTATTTTTTATCTCGGCTGCGTGGTCTCTGCGAGGGACTGAGTTAAGATTGCAACTCCTGCGTCTGCCGCGTCCTGCCGGGGAAGGGCCTGAAGCTCAGACCAAGGAGGAGACACCGATTTGGGGAGTTCTCCAGGCAGACGTTGGACTGGTTCGGACTGGTTCAGGAGATCTGGTAGCGGAAATTTTGAGTGATTCCGAGAACCGGCCAATCCCACCCGTCTCTGACTGGCCCCGCCAACCCCGTCTCTTCTCTGCCTCCCGTTGAGTCCTAGCTGATCGGTTGGGTCTCCTTTGGTTGCCCTGCCCAGGAGAACGGAGCTGGAAAGCAGGTTAGTGGGATGCAGCGGGAAGGGGGATTTTGCAGTAACCTTCCCCTGCCACGCCCACCAAGCCTTCCTTCCTTCCTTCCTTCCTTCCTTCCTTCCTTCCTTCCTTCCT